TATAGCAGATTATTAAAAAACTTGTACCTGTAATACTTTCAAAGACATCATTTAAACATTAAAGATCACTGCTATCCCCACTACACCTTGTTGAGCAGCATTGGAAAGCAACACTACCCCAAAGAAAACATGTAGAGCCAACAAATAAATGTTTTTTTGAGGTATAGATGGTGAATTATGGTTTTTGTTTAATGGTATTTGGAGCTGCAATGTCATATTCAATAGAATAATTATTGTTTGTTTTCCCAATCTTCTAATGGTCAATGAGGTAAATACAACTGTATCTCTTACTATAAATAATACAATGTATAGTTTTATTGTTTAAGGATCTGTCTTAGTTACATAGTTACATATTCACATAACTGAAATGAGACTTGCATCCATCAAGTTCCAAAAGAAGGAAAAAAAAAAAAATGTTTGCAGCACTTCCAATTTTGCAACAAAATAAGGGAAAAAATTCCTTTTCTTATCCCAGAATGGCAGTCAGATTTATTTACATTGAAAAAATATATCCTTGAATATTCTGTTTTTCAAGTATGCATCTAATTGTTGTTTGAACATCTGTATGGTCTCTGATAAAACCACTTCTTCAGGCAGAGATTTCCACATCCTTATTGTTCTTACAGTAAAAAAAAACTTTTCATTGCCTTAGACGAAATCTTCTTTCTTCCAGTCTAAATGCATGACCTTGTGTCCTATGTATAGCCCTGTTTATGAATAGATTTCCAGATAATGGTTTGTATTGGCCCCTGTATATATTTGTATAATGTTATCATATCCCCTCTCAGGTGATGTTTTTCTAAACTAAAGAGGTTTAAATTTGTTAACCTTTCTTCATAGCTGATATGTTCCATTCCTTTTATTAATTTTGTAGCCCGCCTCTGCACTTTTTCTAGTGCCATAATATTCTTCTTTAGAACAGGTGCCCAAAATTGCACAGCATATTTAATATGTGGTCTTACCAGTGATTTAGAAAGAGGCAAAATGATATTCTCATCCCGGGAATGAATGCCCTTTTTCATGCATGACAATACCTTACTGGCCTTAGCCACTGCTGATTGACGTTGCATATTGTTGCATAGTTTGTTGTCTATAACAATTCCCAAGTCCTTTTCGTGTGTTGTTATCCTTAATTTGCTTCCATTAAGAGTATACGTTGCTTGTGCATTCTTTACGCCGAAGTGCATAACTTCGCATTTTTCAACATTGAATTTAATTTGCCATTTGAGTGGCCAGTCACCCAGTCTATCTAAATCCCTCTGCAGCAAAGTAATATCTTGCTCACATTGTATTACTTTACTGAGTTTTCTGTCATCTGCAAACACTGAAAAATGACTTTCAATACTTTTGTGACTGGGTGTGGTCAGCAGTGAGTAATTGGCAGGTTGGGGGGTATCTACTGAAACAAATCACACTATGAAATAATGAATGCAGATTAGTTGCTCTTTCTCTATACCCTGTTGACTGCAAATCTCCAGCATGTTAGCAAGTAGTGGGCAATTGTGTACTGTCCCTTTTCTTATACCCTCTTTACATTCCAATAATACGACATGAGAAATAGTTGGTGAAAATAGGCCCCAGCTTTTTATTAAAATATTTGAACATCAAACAATATAACTTAACAACAACATTCCATAAACATTGCCATCCTTGTCAATCAATTATCCATAACCTCAGAACTCACCTGGGCACTTGCCGTCCCCGCTCGTCCCAACCAATGCTGGCCATAAAACCTGGCCTTCCACCAATACCATGCTAACCATTAGCCGACCTTTGGCTCATTCTGTAATAAACCATGCCTTAATTTCACTGAGGCTAGAGGAGGCATCGGCCCCACATTTCTTCCCATCCATTGGACTCCCCAGTCCAACCCACGATTGACAAGGACAACCACCCGTCTGCTGTGACGACAGGTAAGCAAAGTAGAGTGATTGGTGGGATGGGTGAAAAGATGTATGAAGGGTGCAGATGTTTTATTGCTGGGTCTTTATCTGTTATGTTATTTTGTGTTTTATATAAAGCCACAGTTTTGTGGTAGCGCAGTCCATATTCCATTTTATATATAGTTTAACCCCTTAAGGTCACATGACATGTGTGACATGTCATGATTCCCTTTTATTCCAGAAGTTTGGTCCTTAAGGGGTTAAAGACATAGGTTTGGAGTATTCTCATATAAAGGACTTGCAGCATCCCTCCATTTGCCTCTCTTTCTTCTCTCTTTCCTGTGTATTTATTTTTAAATATTTTTTCTCTCTTTCCCCACAGCACATTTAGTATGCTTTTATTTTGTGATTTATGTTTTAAAATATTTTACACTACTGATGGAACTTATGACAATGTTTACTAAATAACTATGTGGATATATTGATATAGCTGACTCCATTGTTGTACTGCCACATCAAAAATAAAGAATTAAATAAATAAATAAATAATTCTGAATGTTGTTCCTCTTTCAGCTTCATCTTCCATTTCTTACAATGAGGGAGTTAACTAAATAATTAGGAAGCATGCACACATATATGACATCACACAACCACATTCTCTCTAATTACATATAGTGTAATTTAGCTATAATAATCAGTGTAATTAATAAGTGTAATTCAGCTGTAACTAACATTTCATGCATCAAATAAAGTAAATGAAGTAAATAAATAATAAATGATAGATTCACATACAGCTGGAGCTGTGGTGCAGGGAGTTCAGTGTGATTGTCTTTTCTATGTATACTAGTGCAGAACATGATCAGATGATTGTTCAAGTGATAATCTGTGCATATTTCTGTGCATATGTGACTTCAATGTCTTGCTATTAACATTTAATTTTAATGCCAGTTTGTATATGTGTGTTTTGTGTCTACCATGCATATATGTTGCCTGTGGTGTTGCCAGTCTCACGTCTTTGATGATGATTACAAACATGATTGCAATCATTTATACATGTGTATGTATATACTATGTCTAGATAGGCTTATTTGTATTTGAATATAAAATAAATGTATTTTTCCTATATGATGTATGGAAACTTTGCAGTTGTTAATTTGACTTTTTCGCTTTAGACCTAGCTAAAAAAGATTTACACGGTGGTGAGATGGCAGTCACTAAAATTTTTCATCCAACATAAAACAGGGGTGTAAATAACACTTAATAGCAGTATTACAGGTACTAAATAATAATAAATTAACCTATTTTATTTTCAAAATGTAATTGTTATTACATCACTGTTATATACTTCTGTAAGGACCATATGTTATAGCTTTGGTAACTAATATTTACTTCTTTATTGCATTTAAAAGGACATTGCCCTACAAATACAAGTGGGTTTCTAAAAAAAATGAAATCATAAATAAATAATATAAAGTAGACTGTTTTACATTTGCAGCAATGTTGACATTTTTGATTTCTGTTTTAATTCTAATTTTTATTGTAAAATTTACAGGTACATTTACTGTATCTTGTTCAAAAGAAAAACTTTATTCTCCTCTTACATAGTTACATATACTGATAAGATACATGTATCCATCGAGTTCAGCCTTTCTCTCCGCTGTTTTTGCTTAAATCAAGAACACACCAAAAAAAGTTTGTAGCACTTCCAATTTTGCCTCAAACTAGGAAAAAATTCCTTCTTGACCGCAGAATGGCAGACAGATTTATCCTTGGATCAAGAAGCTATTAACCCACAAATTAAAAATTATATCCCTTGTAGCAGACCACGGGTAACCCTACTGGTTATCTCAGATAATTCCTTCACACAGCCAGACTGGAACCATTAAAACAAGCAGACAGACATCCATTCCCTCAGTAACCAGATGAAACATAGTTCTGGGAGTCAATTAACTTATTTCAGGCCCCACACGGCTATTATGCACAGACCCCTACATGGTCCAATACAATAATGCAGGGTTTTTTATTCCCAGGATCCTTTGTGCTGGAGAGATAATTCCATGAGAAAAACATATAATTAAATTATCTCTCAGGTACCCCAAAAGTGCCCCCACCATAACTAGGAACCCCACAAAAGTTATATCCCCAGATAGACCCAGTCTGAGTGTATAACATATCCAAATATCACTCAGATCGGTTTGGTGAAAGGAGAATGCCATTAAGGTAAAGTGTTGACTGGCCAGACACGATTCGCTAGCCCAAAACATTTCCAGGGAAGTAGGTGCCCTGGCCAGTCTCTGTTTGGGGGTTCCTGTGTGAACATCATGCAAGGGATTGTCTAAATTCCAGGGTATGAATGCTCCCCCTGTTCGGTAGTTCATATCTCCTGAACGTTGTTCGCATAGTTGGTCGGAAAGTAGAATGGGCAGTGGTCTAATCTTTACTGGGGTTCATGCGAGTGCCTAGCCAAAAAAAGTTCCAGGCACTAAACGACCAAGTGCTGCTGCCCACGTTCAGGAGACAAAATGCCCCCCATTCTTTTGTCGACCACGTGCATTTGGTTATACGAAATGGCGGCCACCCAGGGGAAGCATTCATTAATTACTTCCCTTGTGGTTTCGCACTTAAGTTGCTGATGTAATCATTATAATAGGGTACAGGGGTGATCCTCGTTCGGGAGATGAATGGAGGAGGTTCGTATACAATAACTCCCAAATGAGAAAGGGCAAAATATGCGAAATGGGGCAAAATATACGAAATTGGCGGCAATCACCAATGGGTGGTATTTGTGCAAACTAGCAGAAAATATGTAGGTGGTAAATGTTATGCTCACCTTGTTTAAAGTCTTAAATGCCTGGCTTTGAGGGTGATCACCAGTGTAAAGGGATGGCACTTCCCTACAGAAATTCCCAGAGGCTTCAAGGACTTCAATGGATGTAAAGAATAATTTTATTGGTTCCAAATAAAAGTAATAAACAAAAACCAGAAATTTGGAGAATAAAAACTATCAGTAAAAGTCCAAATAAAGGTCCAAATCATCGCTATTTTTGAAGCATATGAGGTTTGTATAGATTCCTTTAATGAAGACATACCCTGTTTGAGGTCAGCAATGTCCTCTTCCTAGGACTTGACCCTATATGTGACTGCCTGTATGTCGGTATTGAAGATCGCCATATCAGCCACCAGTAAATTTTTGATCTCCACCACTAGGTTGTGAAAGTTCTGTTTGGTGACTGGGGAAGACTTGTGTTGTGTGTATGTCGGAGCTTGCTCCATTTCTGCTGGTTCAGTCCCCTGGGTTGATTTGGCCTGTGTGGGGCCCTGCGAGTCATCTGGCTTGGCACAGTTTTCTGGTGCTGCCATTTTAGGCTGGGGCTGCCGCTGGAGGAGAGCTCCCATAGCACTTGACCCTGAAGGTATGGGACTGCCGTGCCATAGTGAACGAGCTGTGAAGCGCTGGGTGCGGAGCCCAAGGCTTAAAACTGTCAACTAAACTAGTCCAATCGAGGTCTGGGGCGGGGGGAAGAGGGGATGGTATGCCCTTGATTTGGGCTTCTGCCATTTTACTTTGGGAGCCTGCAAAAACAGCTTAAGTGCGTGTAGGTATTCTGGGGTAAGTTCTGTCTGTTTTCCCAATAGGTGCTCTAAAAACCCATTGTACAGTGCTACAGAATTTGCTGGCGCTATATAAATAATAAAATAATAATAATAATAATAATAATTAATCCCTTAAAATCAAGCTTTTTACAGGATTGCATGACGAGCTTTGTGAGGTGGAGTCTGTTCCGTCTCAGGGTCAGGCTCCACCCCTCTACTTTTATTAATTTTGTAGTACACCTCTGCACTTTTTCTAGTGCCATATTATCCTTCTTTAGAACAGGTGCCCAAAACATATTCAATATGTGGTCTTACCAGTGACTTATAAAGAGGCAAAATTATATTTTCATCCTGAGAATTAACACACCTTTAATTCTTACTGGCCTTAGCCACTGCTGATTGACATTGACACTGTTGCCTAGTTTGTTTTCTATAACAATTTCCAAAGCCTTCTTGTGTGTTTATTTAGATTATTTTCACATGAACAACAGAGTGGCTTTATTTTAAGGAGATTTCATGCAATAATCGCCTATAAGGGAATATGGACAACCTGTCTACTCACTGTTTATATGGGATTTTACGCCTGGTGTGCAGACTGCTTGGCACAGCTGCACGCAGGGGTGAGCCCTACTAAACATTATTTTGGATGACCCCTTATGCCCCCACAGGCCATTTTAAAAGAGACTGATAGGGGTGACCCCCTGCCAGTGGTGCCACTTAACATCATGGACTAGTTACATGTGCACTCCCTCCAAATAGGAATATTACCATCTCACAATTGGCACCTCCCCAACATTGGGGACTTAGGGATTTGCCCCTTTGGCTGTTTGTAGCCTGTTAATGCCTCCCCATAATTACAAGGGTTTCGTCCTTTACATTACTAGCCACTCAATACAACGGGAACTGTAATTGAGCCCTCATAACAGTCTCTAGTGGTGATTTATTACAACTATCCTGATACCAGGCTAACACCCAATTGCTCAGAGCAAAGGGTCTACCCATCAGGCCTTGCTTAAGCAAGCATCCTAATATATATGTCCTCTACCTTACAGGACATCACTTATTGTTATCATGTCGGATTCCCCTCCTCAAGGACAAGACTTCCAGGCAATGATCAACTCTGCGGTGGCAGCTTCCATGGAGAAGGCGATATCCAAAATGATTTTGCAAGTTCCACCTGATCTTTCTACCCAGGCTATGGGACCAACTCCGCATGATGTGGAAGATAATATGGGCTCTGAGGCTCCTTTCAAGGACCTCCAATCCCTGACAAAACACCATTGAGCTGGCCTCACCGTGCCATGTGCACAGGCAAAAGGGAAAACACCTGCAAAACGCAGCAAAAAAACAACGAGACCAGAACTACCTTCACCGTTCTGCGTCTCTCCATGCAGTAGTATCCTCAGAAGATGGTAATGCTTACCCATTGGCTTCAGTAGACATCATTGTTGAATAAAGTGTAGATGCCTCCGAATCGAAGGACGAGAGTAACTGGCTGGACATGCCAAACTCAGACAACAAGTACGTTATAGAATGGTACAGTGATAAATTCTTCTCCCAGGAGGCACAGGAATCCTTCCTGATGGAAGGCGAGGGCCTGTTCATCGATACACAAGGCTGCCCCCTCTTTAACCCGCAAAGCATCTGCCACCCACGGTCCTTTAAATGGACCTTACCATCGCACCTGACCAAGTTTGGCCACTACTGGATGTGCAAGCCTCGGGTTCGGGTAGTGTGTGCCCTCCTGAGGGCCGAATGCCCTAGCCCAATGCTACCAGATAAAAAAGCCTTCACTCCCGAATTTGACATGACAGTGGTGGTCTTCATATCTCAGATGGGGCGTGATCCTCATAAAGGGGTCGAGAGGGACCTTGAAATCATCACAGAATAAACTGCTGGACCTGCTTGGTACTATCGCCAAGATCCTGTACTTCGTAGATCTGGCTCAATTGCAGGGCACTCAGCTCGACCCCAACACCATCAGAGAATGGGCTCAACTCTGCATCTGTATTTTGGACAATGTCAACACCGCTTTATGCATGGAGAGATACAGAATGGCTCTAATCTGAATAGATTCAAAACTCATTAATATGTCCCATAAAGAGCTGGGATCCGCAGCAAATGACCCACTATTTGTCTATTCAATCATTACTGAACTTAAGAAACATGTTTTCCCCTAAATAAGGCATGATTATCTATCAAACAGGTATTTTTGGGCAGGCTGGTTGGCAGAGGGACCAGGACACCAGCCGATTCTGTAATTACAGAGGAGCGGACAGAGCCAGTGACTACCACAGAGCTGAGGCCAAGCACGCTTTACCCCAGGTGAGTCCACAGTTTAATGCAAATGTCTCTACCTTGACAGCAGACAGGCTCTCCCTTTATTCACAGAACTGGAAAGAGATCTCTTCGGATCCATGGTTTCTGCAAATGGTACAGCTTTACGTTATCAAATTCCACTCCTGGACATACCAACCACATCCTCCACCACCTTTACGGACCTCGGCAGAACACGAGTAAGTGATCAACAAGGAAATACAATCCCTGTTTTCCAAAGGCATGGTGGACCATGCTCAGGAGACGAAGATAACTTCTTCAGCAACATATTCCTAGTTCAAAAGAAAACTGGAGACTTCCAACCGTCATCAACCTGCGGCAACTCAGTTCCTTCATGGTATACCACCACTTCAAGATGGAGGGAATCCATCAGCTTTGCAACCTCCTCCTCAAAGATGAGTGGTTCACACGATTGGACCTCAAAGACGCGTACCTTTTTGTACTGGTGACTCAATCCTGCTGAAAGTTCTTACACTTCCAATGGCATGACTGTCCATGTCAATTCACATGCCATCCGTTCAGACTCATCTTGGCCCTGTGGTGCTTCACAAAGCTCCAGAAACGGGTCATGGCTCGCCTTTGCTCCTTAGCCATAAGCAGCATAATCAACATGGATGACTTGATACTGTTCTGCGACACAGCTTCACAACTACACTCTCAGACGATATTTGTAGTAGATTTCCTTGAGTCCTCAGGTTTGGTGGTCAATCACGACAAGTCTGCACTGGAACCCTCACAAATGGTCCAGTTTCTGGGGTCTGAGATTGACTCAACCACTTGCATGCTCCGACTGCCTCTCAAGAAGATCGCTGCTATACCAAAATAGGTTTGGAAGGTGCTGCGCATGGAACACATCCCGTGATGCCTCTTGGCTTGGGTTGTGGGACACCTATCAGCTTCCATCCAAGCAATCTATCCGGATATACTACACTACCGAGCCATGCAATGACTGAAAGCACACTACTTACTATCACACGATCAGGTGGTACCCCTCACAACTGCCGTACGGGCAGAACTCCTCTGGTGGCTCCTCCACATACCAGCCTGGAATGGGACACCATATTTGGTCCCACACAGGACTTTGTCAAAGTCATCAAATTATTCGAACACAAAGGTCCATTGATTCTCAACCTTTTTGCACCTCAGATGAACCAACAACTCCCCAGTTTCTTCAGTTAGCTACCACACCTGGAATGCAAAGCGGTAGACGCATTCCTCCAGAACTGGCCTAGCCAGGGAGCTTATGCCTTCCTTCCCTTCTCCATGTTGGTGAGGGTGATACACCAAGTACGGACCCAAAGGAAAGAAATGCTGCACATCTGGAGTTTAACCCCTGTGCTGCTGGAGGTGTAACCCCACCTCCCCAATGTCATTGAGGTGTCATTAGCCAGCATGGAACAAGAGTTACAACTGGCTAATGTTATTCTGTGCATATTTCAATGCACAAAGGCTCATTTATTGGCTGAGAGTGATCAACTGATGCTCCCAACCTATGAATGAGTGGTAGGCTTGATGTTTTTTCACTTTAGGATCACTGCTGCTTTATAAGTTCCCCTTTCTTTTCCCCAAGGTGTGCCTTTTTTAGAAGGACCATATTTTTTCGGCAGTCTACTAGATATATTTTTTGTTTACTCAGACTCTCCTATTTAGGGTTACCCTTCACCCCAAATCTCCTATAGAGTTATAGTAGGGGGGGTCTGATGTAGGACTGTTCTGTCACTCAGCCGAAATAGTTTACTTATTTCTCGCCACCTTAACAGTGTCATTTTTCGCCACCTTAACAGTACATATTGATGCTAATGTCTAAAACTGTGTACATAAGAGGCTTTTAAACCACTCAAGCAGCCTTACAACTCGAGATAACCTGAGATGGAAAGCTATATCTCGTGATACTAGATAGAATTTTGATCATTAACAATACGGTACTCGATAGACTTTTCAGATGTACTGTATATAGCGGTGCATAGCGATATATATTCATTCCTATCAGTCTCTTTGATGTAATGACTGTTTGGCTCAATTGCATTATATCGGTACCAACTTACTTTTGGCAATCCTTACAAACTAGGGGATTCCAGAATGGAATAGTGTATATCATATATTCTATAGGGTATTATAATTGGGGTAACTACATATTTCTATGCTATCTTTCCGTTTTTTTTTTATCAACTTGGTATATACTGCAATCGGTTGCCACAAATACCCATTTGACGACACTTACTTCCCCCTGGGGACACTATCATTTGAGTCCATTGCTCTTTATTGTGATAGATATATACTGTCTTCTGTTGCTCTATTTACTTTTTAAACTTCATCCTATTTATAACTGTGGTGGACATAGACTGATTACCTTTTACCGCAACCATTTGCAGTGTTACGGTATTTAGCAACAGTGTCAGCATGATAGATCCTAAACTAACACTTATTAC